TTCAATGAGCGTCATGGCAACGCGGAAGTCTCCGTTCTCTGACAGATGATTCAGGAGAGATCTCGCCACGTGACCCCGTACACGAATCAAACTCTGATCTCGGAGTGAACCTGAAGTGCATCTGTGTGTACTCGTGCGCCGCTGCCAATCATGGCGGCGCTGGGGCTGTTAGCGTTTTATGGACAGAGAAATCAGGATTTGTTGTTATCCCATTGAAGAATGAGCAGAGTGTTTACATGCATATCATTGGCTTCCATCATACACTGCAGGCTGTGTGAATTAGGGCCCGCAAACACAGCCTCATTCTCCTTGCATCACGCCAAGAGTCACTCCATTGATTACCCTTCCCCGCTCCCAGGAAATGGCTCATGCATCTCGTGTACATTATAACAAATGTTCTCTTTGCATTACAATTGAATTGTGATTGTTATGTTCAATCAATGGGGAAAGGTCACGGGATCGCTCCTGCCAGCGCTTTAATGGAGAAGTCGATGAGGATTCATTTTAATCACTGCGGCTGTGGCAGAATGAGCACAACACTGAGAGACTGTCAATGGCCCGGTAATTACCACTGTTTATACAGGTTTCTGCTTTGGCAATTTAGATATCCACAAATCTCTCTGTTTCCTGCACCCTGGTTATATTGGAGGCTGCGCGGCATCAAATGAAGTGCTGCAGGACGTGGGCCGTGACTGCTCTAATTGTGGGTGAGGCTGGCTCTTTGAAAACCAAGTGAACTCCATTTGCTCCTCTTTTGAGCAGTCACATTACCAGAGAGCTGTTATTTCCAATACTTTGTGTGGAGGAGCATTGCATTCGCTCAGCTGAGTCTGAGTCCTGCCCTGTGACAGTTGCATTAAGAGGGGGAAGATTAAATCACCCCTATTTACAATGCACATCTGTCTACTGTAAGTGTGCGGAGAGATACTGGTACTAAATATGGCATTGCTCTTAAAGAAACTGTGATTATGCACAAGTTGAGAACATCAAAGATACAGCTGATCCCAACTGTGGGCTCTGTCTTCCTTTGCTGACTTTTTTAACTTCATTTTCTGATTTCTTGGTTGTAGGCTTCTCTTTGGTCAATGTGTGTTGTTTTAATTATGCTTTACACTTTGACTTTGACTTTGTTCATAAAACTTTGACTGTAACTCTGGTGAAAGTAGTCGGTGAATGATATTTTGGCAACAACTGTGGAGCAGAAATGCAGCTTTGATGAGACAAGAGCTTTCTTATTGAGTAAACCTCTGATTGTCCACGGTGGCGTTTTCAAATGCCTTGTGTTGTCCCACCATCAGTCCAAATAACACAGAGATTTCATTTGCAATGATATAAAATGGAAAATAAACAGCAAACTCTCTGATTTGAGAAGCTTGAATCACAGAATGTTTGGAGTTTTGTCATAAAAAGGAGTTCAATGACTACAACTTAGTTGCCGATTCATTCCCAGTCGTGTCCGCTCAAATAAAACATTTCATATATTCTGGATTGTGACTGTAAAGGTAGTGATTCTGTGCGGAAGAATACAGGAACTGCATAAGTAGACACTGTGAGAGAAGCCCTACGCTGGTATTTGTAATTAGAAAAGAAATCAGTGTGGCCAGTGGGGAGAATTATCACACAGCCTCCACCATCAGTGTGCTCCCTGACATCACCCCCTCACCCCAAGTGGCATGTTTGTGTTGGACGGGTGGCTAAGGATAGATGGGGTCAAGGCAGCATAACCTTGGAGAAACAAATATTCATGATCAATAAGTGCTTTATTCCAAGCATCTAAATGATTCTTATGTCTGGAGCTGCCCCCCCCCCACACTTGCCCATGCGGAAAAGCAGTTTGAAGATTTATGCCGACTAGGTAAAAGGACATTTTAAAAGACTACACAGTATCACTTCTTTCAAATGTCATGTAATCATAGGTTAGGGGACAGTGCTGGGCACAGAGAGCTAAGTGATGTTACAGATAATGAATTGCCTCTGAAATATAATACATCGTGAGTATGATTCTTTGTTCCTGGCTCTGTACACCAACTCGCTTCAATTAAAGTTATTTATCTCTCTTGTTTTTTAAGTTCATCAATTATATTGTGATACACTTAACGTCCATAAGAGGATGATGTATGATTGGTCTAATTATTTCTTATTCACCGTGCTTTCTAAAGCATATCAATTTTGTTAATACCATGTAATTAAAACACGTCAGTGCGCCACAAGTTGCCGGCTGTATTAATGACTATGAAAATTATTTTAATTAAATAGCCAATTATAGAAAAATCCTAACCATGAGAATTGACATTTAAATGAATTCAATTTAAATTGCTTTTCAACATTGTTTTATCAAAGCTTTATGGGGTGAATAAATTATGACATCAAACAATATACTGTGTCATTGATCATACACAAGTCTTGTCCCATATCCATACATTTTGAAACACTTTCCTGATGCCATTCATCACGCCGGGTGATTACATTTTGACACAGTCATTTGTTTACTGCAATCTCATCCACATGTACTGTACTTCTGTGTACTTTCAGGAGAACCGTCTGTGTTACCGAGCGCTGGAAACTTCACTCACGGTACCAATTTCAAACTACTTTTTTGCAGAGACAACTTAGTCCCACTGTGCATGAAGAAAAAAGAAAGAAGTGACGTTGTTGTCACAAGTAACACGTAGTCTTAGAGAGCTGCTGCCTTTAAAGATAGCTTCCCATACATGCTTTTTACAATTAGTAGTGCTCTTTGTATGTGCGCTGCATTACAACAACAAAGTTCACAGACTTTATTTTTGTGTTTCTATGTTTTCATAACCGGGGTCACATGCAGCCCACCCAGCCTGTTGAAAGGGCGTCTGTATCTAAAACATCACACATATCCTGTGGTGCCTTTTAATACCTATTAGGCAACTCTGCCTCATTTTTATTTTTTTCCCTGCATAATGTTAATGAAAGTCATTTTTCAGACATTACAAGCACAATGATTTGCAGTTAACCCATGCAAACAAGAGAAATAGTGGGCAAACTGTTGTGACATTCATTGTATATAATGAAATCTTAATATGGTGCATATTTAAGTGAAAGGTTAGCAACATAAAGGGCAAATGGATTGCCTGGCAATGAATTTTAAGCAGCTATTGATTTTACACTACAAGCCACCTCTTTCCCTGAATGACAATTTTGAAAGCGGCACACTGCTTATCTTAAAGCTGATCTGACAACAGGACAACAGCAATACACAGAATATTAAGGCCAATGCAGACTGTGATAAGCAGCGGCCTCCCTGATGTGCACCGCACTCATTCCACTTAAAGAGGAGTCATGGTAAATATGAATGTACTCTGCAAAACCCAGCTTTTGCAAATATATCTAACAGCAAATAGACAACTTTTGATTAAAAAAAACACAAAAAAACAGTGCAAAGCTAAAGTAGAACTGGTTATTTAGAAATGTAATGCAATCTAATGAGTGCTACCAAATTGGGGACAAAAAGATAACAAGTTGTGCCGGCTGAATTTTTTTTTATACATAACTTTCATTTCTGCAAAACTCCAAACAAGGTTCCCGCAGACCAGCTTTGAATATATCTACGGCCTATTTCTCTTAATAGAGTTTGATCTATCAGTGAGACGTATTCCAGTGGTGTAGTTCAGTGTTTTACACCCACAGATTGATCTGGCGGGAAAGGTATTGTAATTGATGACGCGCTCCAGTGGTCGTACACATGCGTGAACTCTATGTGAGCTCTTATTGTACACGGACATGACCCCATCTCCACCATACAAGCGCTGCACTTCCTCCCTCTCTGCCTTTATCCCTCTTTCTGCTGCGCCGTCTGAGGTTGGGAGAAAGTTTGAGAGTTCCCGTTGTAGCCGGGTTAAGCTCGGCTCAGCACTCTTCACCATAAAAGAGTGCGAACCTTCAACAGGCTGGTGTTCTGTCCTGGAGGTCGTGCACTATGCGTGCAGAGGCAAAAGTTGCCATTGCAATACTGTGCGAGACACCCAAAAAGTGAACCGTTACCAACGTTGTGGTCTGTGTATTTAAGTTGGTTTTATTATTATTATTTTTAAAGGTTTTAACTCTATTAGCCTGTGTTCTCACACCACTTCAGATTCTTCACTATGTTAGGCTCTGGCAATATGAAGGTTTTGGTTTCTCTCATGGGCAGGAGTGCCTCTTTATCGACAGCTATTCTGACTTCATTAACTATTTTAACACTACTGCCATCATTTGTTTTGACATGGCCGTTCACGTGTAATTCTCACAGAATAACACACTAGTTATTATTCTTCTGACATGAAGCGCTGCACAACATGATATGAAGCGTTTACAATGCATTCTGTTGAAGATTAGGTGTTACAGTCAAACTTTTAGTTAGTAAATGTACTTTTATATTTATACGTTGTCATGTAAAAACCACCATTGCCTCATGTTGTGTCATGCTGTTACTTCATACAAAAAGCCAGAGCCACTTTGACTGTAAATACAATAAACATAAAGAGCTAATTCAATTAGACTTCTCTTTTTTCCCTCTCTGACAGATAGTCTGTACCTTGAACAGTGACTCACTCAGTCAGAAAATATGACAAAGAAGTCAATGACATCCAAAGTAAAATAAAGTAAAGGAGAAAAAAGCCCACAGTGATCACCGGTCTGTAAGGTCACTGTGGGCTTGCATACCGTCTGATAGCAGGTGTAGTCTGTGTGGCTGCTCTGTGTTGTGAGAACCAGCAGTCACTGAATCTTCCACATGAGTTTGTTTTTGACCACAGTTATAAAAAAAACATTATAATTTGTTCACGTTTATCATCCGATGTAACCGTATTTCTCTAATGTGGAATAAACAATCGGAACAGACTGGAACATGTCTGTTCTTCAAAGGCTTGCGTGTCCCCTAGCTCCGCCCCCTCTACCGTGTGACAACAACAACTCATCCACAGAGCGGAGCTGCACTTTTCAGCTCATTTTCCTCCTGTCATTCCTCCTCCTATCTTTGATCATTGTCCCGCCGCTCAGCCCCCCTCCCCACCCCCCAACGCCCTCACTCAGCACGCCTTTTCTCGGCAGCTCTTTTTACTTCACAACTTATCCGAGGAGCTAAACACTCGTGGATTCTTTCATTTAGCGGTGTCTCGGCAGGCTGGGTTTTTCTACTTTGAACTTCGGCTACTCTCTTCCCCCTCCTGTAGGTGACCATGGCCGTACCGGCTGCTCTGATCCCACCAAATACTCTGGTCGCGCCGCCTCCGATCTCGACTCCCACCCTGACGACGTCCCCGCCGACGACAACTTCGTCGCCGTCTCCATCCCTGGCGCTGCCGTCCGCGCCCGGACAGAACCTGTTCAGATCAGAGCTCCTCGCCACCGGCAGCCCGGGCATCCCAAACGCGGCGCTGCCGCCCGGCAAGCCCGTGTACTCGACCCCGTCGCCCGTCGAGAACATACCGCAGAACAACGAGTGCAAGATGGTCGAGTTGCGCGCCGCCAAAGTGGCCTCTTTCACCGTGGACGGCTGCGAGCTCATCTGCCTGCCGCAGGCTTTCGACCTGTTCCTGAAGCACCTGGTCGGCGGACTGCACACGGTCTACACCAAGCTGAAGCGGCTGGAGATCACGCCGGTGGTGTGCAATGTGGAGCAGGTCCGCATCCTCAGAGGGCTCGGCGCCATCCAGCCCGGGGTGAACCGCTGTAAACTCATCTCCAGGAAAGACTTCGAGACGCTGTACAACGACTGCACCAACGCGAGGTAAGCGGACGACCGGCTCTTGTGCGGCATATTTATTTTGTCTTCTTCTTTGGGTTTAAATGTCTTTACGGACATGACGTGCGTAAAGGCGAGGGAGCAAGGAAGGGGGAGACATTTTTCTCTTTTAAAAAAAAACAAGTGATTCAAGCGATGGCATTAATGTATCATTCGTAGTTAGGAAAAAACAGTGTGTGTGTGTGTGTGTGTGTACGTGAGCGTTGGTTTGCTAGAATGTGCTTCTGGTGTGTCCGTTTGGACGGGGAGAGGCCAGAGCGCACCATCAGTGAGAAAGTTTAGTGAAAGTTTTTTTTTGAACACGTGCAGGGCAAAGCTTGTGCCATGATGGATCGCCTGTCTACCGCGGGACGAGTGAATCGATAATATAGGCTACACCACGGCCGAGTTCCACCACGCTGTTGAATAAACTTCAAGAAGCGTAGAGCCGCCAAGGCTAAAGGCGATGTCACAAATACCACCACAGCCATCTGTTCCTCTCTTCACTGTAATTCCTCTTAATTTAGAAACTTTGAAACAATTTTCTCTGGAAGAAAATGAGGTTATGCATTATTATATGCCCTTGCCACAGGGCCAGTACAATTTTATTTCTAAGTTAGAATTTAAGTGAGTAAACAATACAAACACAGATTATCAGAATTATATCTCATTAGTGTATTAATTGTTTTTCTCAGTATTGACAGCCAGTATATTTTTTGAATGAGGTAACAGTACACTCACGACTCCTGTATGAGTGTATGAAGTCTGTTTTTTCCCCACTGTAAATGCTCTGCATAATTGCCATACAAACACACACATTAGAACGTGCCTTTATCAAACATCCTTGATTTATATTAAACAAGGAAATTCACACACAGTAAGTGAAATGAATGCATTAAACCGCATTACCAAATCAAATATTTTGAGGTTTATACGTTTTAATATGGGGGTGATTTAAAGTGAGGATCAATATTTGATTAAAAGCCATTTTTTACCGTCCTGTTGCTCCTGGCTTTGATGTATCGCTCAGTCTCGCAGGATGGTTCAGCCTGGTCAAATTTACCATCTCACCTGTCACTATGATTGATTCCATATTGATCTGCTACCCAGAAATGAGCTGGAAATGCAAATATGATGGAAAGCCTCACTTCAGTGTGGGGGATAGCAATAAACACTTTGAGTCACTTTGGTTATCTCGGTGTATAAGCATACAGCCTTTTTTGGGAAAAAAATAATATATAGTGTGAGATTAAACTCAATTCTGACTTTTTAGATGCATACTTAGTATTCCAAGTACATGTGGGGGAAAAACCCTCAAAGAACTGCTGTGTCTGCAGAGTGGGCCTGGTCAGAAGAGAGAGGCAAATTATCACAGTGACATATTCTTTTAATTCTTAAGCTTTTCCCTTGTGCAGTAGATTTATTTCAAATTTTAGCAGCATGCATTTTATTTTCTCTTTATGCTCTCTTCACAAAACGTTCTAAACACTCTTCAGCTCCACATTTCGATTGCTGTTGTAATCGTCTCAACGGCTCACCTGTGCACTTTGGCGCTCAGGCGTCATTTACATAAAGCATCGAGGGAGCAGAACCCCCCCCCCCCTCCCTCCCTCTCCTCTGTAGAGAGAAACACACGGTGCAGTGATCCTCTCCTCCAGTCTGGCGCGGGGGGGCTTCAGGTGACAAAGTATGTGGTTGAACTCTCCGGGTTGTCAATGGGGGGATGGCCAGCGATGGGGTTAAAGGATAATGCAGTGCCTCGCGTCGCTTTAATGACGCTAAAGTGGTGGGCTATTACGGGCACATGGACAGGACCGTAATTGTCTCTGAAAGCAGCCAGGTACTCCCGGTGCTGGGCTGAAATCAATCACTCAGACCCGGCCTGCCTGCCTGCCCCATTTGGAGAATTACATCACGGAGCGGCGAGGCATCCGCCGGATAAAAGGCTTCTGTTACTTAGAAAAGAGTTGATTTTATTTGCGGGGGGGGGCTGCCGACAAAATGATCAGTCGGAGTAAACAGGACACGTGTTGCCCTGCAGGTGAAAACCAGTTTCCCCCTCTCCAAAAAAGAGGCTTTGCACCGACTTGCTGTCAGTATAAGAAAATACAATAAAATACCCGAGTACACCGGGTTAACCCGCTCGGGTTACACAACAACAGCCCCGCTGCCTGGGTCACTTTAGCTTTTCATCTCGCCCCGATCACCACAATGTTACTACTCTTATTATACAGGCAGAGTGGTAACAATGAAGTGAATAATACCTCCTCTACAATGGGTCTTACTATTTCACATGCTTTTTTTCCCCTCCCACGGTCTATTGTGTTAAAACAACACTGGGCTCATTTTGCACACAGTGTGAATGTGAATAGCATCACAGAGCACCGCTGCATCCCGCTGTTGTACTTTGGATGTGGACACAAACAAGCTCCAACCAAATTGTTCCCCGCCATGCTTACTTTAGCAGAACGCTGCTCAGAAAAGCTGTGTAGGATATTTTGGGGTATTTTTTTATTATGGTGATGAATTAATCCTTTTTCTTTTACTTCTACAGTGAGTGTTGGACTTTGTACTTTGCCTAATACGCTGCACGGTATTTTAGTAATTATTGTTCATCTTTAAGCATACTAGGAATCCAGTCATTTTTGACCCCTTATTTTTCCTAAGGACTCTCGTGCCAGATTAGTAGTGTTGGCTCTTTGCTCCCAGACTGATCCAGGTTCAGTAATCTCTCCTACATTAAGACTCCGGCTCTCCAGGAGCCCTCCAGGAGCCCTCTGTTCCAGCTACTTGTTTTCCTTTTCATTCTCCCCGTGGTGGGATGGAAAAGGTTCTTATTGCTGCGTGACACTTGAACTCTCTGAAAGGTTATTATAACACTGGGGTGGATGAGGGGCGGGGGGTGCAGAGATATCGCATATCTCTCATTGGTCTGCTTTGTGGGGGCAGGCTACCCGATGCCGGGGCGCAGAAATGCAGCAGTTAATTGACAATCATTGTCTACCCTTGAAGGTTAACCACACGCCCCAGACAATGTCCCACCACTGGGAAACGGGACGGCTTTTTCACTTACATGCCCTTCTTAAATAGATTTTTTTTTTTCCCCTCCCCGGCTCGTTGCAGTCGAGCAGATCTCCCTCTGAAGCGCTCCCGATGTGACAGGTCACAGTGGTACGACTTCTCCTTTAACAGATATACATTTAATTGATACTGACATGACAGAGGGTGCTATGAGAGCTATCACCTCTCTTGTTCCTATTTCAAGAGTGTTTATGCCTAAACACACATATTTGCAAATGACAGTAATTGTTTTGTTTAGCGCTCAGTGTGAGCTGCCACCGAGGGTGCCAGCTTGTCTCTCTCCCTCTCCGCCGCCGAGCTCTCTTATAATATATTTGTTTTCTACAAGGCACGGATGTGTTTACAGGTACTCAGGGGAGATTTCTGGATTCCATTCAAATCATTCCCAGTCAGAGTGGGTGCTAAGATACCCGTCACCCAGCAACCACATCCAAGAGGGAGCTCGGGCGATAATAACTTCAAAAACAGAGTGACAGATGCCTGATTAGTGAGAGAGAGAGAGAGAGAGAGAGGGAGAGAGAGAAGGATATACAAAGCGGTTTAAAATCCAAATCTATTCAAGTACTTCCTTGAAAGTCAAATTGGCCCTCATATTGTGTGTTGGTTCTTTATTGAAGGGAAAAAAGCATTTTAACTTGTCTCTCTCTTTCTCTTTTTTTTGCATTTTTAATCCTTCAGTGGGGCTCTGCTAAATTTGATTAGGTACAGTACATGTGCTCAAGTCAACTGTGCAGTTGGCAGATGGCAGCAAGGTGTTTTCTTTTTATAAACAAATAGTCTCCTTGAAAATCAGAATTGCTTTATTGACTTAACATCCATTGAGCTGGAACGAGTGCAAATTAAAACTTTTTTTTTTTTTTTTTTACAAAAAAATCCACGGTCTAGCTCAGTTAACAAAAGTATCATTCATTTTCTTCCTTTCTTTTGAGATAATTTTTTCTTTTTCTTTTTAATAGCCAACAATGAGGCTGAGCCAGGACTCGTTAAAGAGGCTTTGTTTGACACTCTCTAATGTGGTTTGTGGATTTAGAGGCTGTTTGCATGGCAAAGAGGCCTGTACTGTTAATTTGCCTGTTGGATGCATTAGTTGTCCAGGCTCCCATCTTATTTGCATGCCTTTACTGGATCGGCAGCAGCAATTGAAGTACCAATTAATACCTCTACCCGAACGAAATGGTGCAAAATCACACGTCGACATCAGGTCCGTCCACGCTAATCAGCATATTCAAATGACCTATTTTTACTGTGCTCGCCAACCATAAAGGGGTATTAGCTTTGATTCTTATAGACAACAGAGTTAAGCTGTTTAAAATCTATCTGTCAATATGACTTATCTGGAATATCAAACACGGCGATTTTACCTGGTGATTTTACACTTGAGACTGATTGCCTGACAGGCCAGCGATAGATTTTGGGTCACTCTGATTTCCGTTCTCCTCTTCTCCCCACAGCCACAGCTCCCTGGCTCGTCCTTACTCGCCGGCTCCTTCACATTACTGCACATTTAGGGAGCATGGCGGTAGTCACCGGCACTCGTACCAGGATATTAAATGCTACTGACAGAAGTTAGAGGGAGCAGATGAGATTTTCTGATTGGGGAAGGAATGCAGGCCCTTGCCTGGCTCTGTCTAATATGGTCACATAGAGAAATTGATTTTCCTCAGAAATTAATTAATTTTTCATATAGCCCAAAGCTGGAGTTTAAAAAAGAGTGCACACTTGCTGGTTTCCTCTTTTCCCCCTCTTTTTTAAAGAATTATTGCCTAATCATATTAATACTTTTGCCCCAAGGATGAAAAGATAATTGTACAAATGCATTTGGAAATATGTATCACAGAGTATTTATGATTAAATTATGCAAATAACTCCCGCTCCCATCCTTCGTGGGCCCAGATTGTCTAATTAGGATTGATATGGCGAATAGA